TTTTACCTTTGCCTTGTGTCTACTTTGATTAAACTTTAAAAATAAAGTTTTCATATTTTCCAAATTTAGTAAAACGTCTTATCAACTTCCCCCTGAAAATCTTCCTAATATTCTTGCAAGTTATATAAATCTTCTATTTTTGGTAAGTTCCTTCGACTCCGAGAAACTATAAATAGCCCTAATAACATCTCTCTAGCAACTCACCTCTTTCTTTCAAAATATAAATGGCTTATTTTACTAGGATGACAAGCTCTTTCTTTGCCTTATTGTTCTTCCTAGTTCTTGGTTGTGAAGCTAGAGTTCCAGGAAAAACTAGTGGAGGATTTATTAGAACAAATGGTGCACATTTTGTACTAAATAGATCACCTTTTCTATTCAATGGTTTTAACTCTTACTGGCTCATGCACGTAGCATCTGATCCTAGTGAAAGGTACAAAGTCTCTGAGGTATTTCAAGAAGCCTCTACTGCTCGCCTTTCTGTTTGTCGAACTTGGGCTTTCAGTGATGGAGGAGATACAGCATTACAAATATCACCTGGTGTTTATGATGAACGTGTTTTTCAGGTAATTATATTAGGATTTAACTTATATAAATTAACAGAGGAAAATAATTATACTATAAGTTATTTTAACATGTTGTAGCATAACCACTCTTCTTTTCCAATTTAAAATCCCACTTGTCATGGACTATTAATGTATACCGGCAATTCTCTTTTAACTGACCTGATAGTAAGATTTTGACTAAATTAAACTCATTATTTTAATAGGATAAGTTTCTTCTTTTTATTTTATGTATACTTTTACACATTAATGGAGATACTATATGAAATTTAGGGATTGGATTTTGTGATCTCGGAAGCTAGGAAATATGGGATTCGCTTAATATTGAGCTTCGTCAACAACTATATTGATTTTGGAGGGAGAGCTCAATATGCTCAATGGGCACGAAATGCAGGAGTCCGGATTAATAGTGAAGATGATTTCTACACTCATCCAGTGCTCAAAGATTATTACAAGAATCATGTTAGGGTATGACAATATATTTTTTTAATTATTCTTGGCTGTTTGTATTTCAATCTGGAGCCAAGTAACTAATAATTCTGTGATTTTGTTGCGCAGAAAATTGTAACAAGGTTGAATACTATCACTGGAATGGCTTATAGGGATGATTCAACTATAATGGCATGGGAACTTATGAATGAGCCTCGTTGTAAAGCTGATTATTCTGGGAAAATAGTAAATGTGAGTAAAAATATAGGGAAGAAATAGTTTGTTAATTATTTCCAAATTTGACGTCTTTTGGAATCTAATATTGTGCGAATTTTACAGGCATGGGTTCAAGAAATGGCAACTTTTGTGAAATCAATAGACAGGAAGCATTTGCTGGAGATAGGAATGGAGGGATTCTATGGTGATTCAATGCCGGAAAAGAAGCAATTTAATCCTGGTTACCAAGTTGGAACAGACTTCATTAGTAGCCATCTCATCAAAGAGATTGATTTTGCCACAATTCATGCATATACTGACCAATGGTAATTAAGCAATTCTTCTAGACCTCAAATTTCGACAAAGGAATATATATATACTAGTTTCTCTCCACGTGCGTCTGCACGTGTACACCAAATTATGTAATACTCGTGTGATAATTTGTGAATACTATATTATTAAAATTAAAATAAAATTTTGATATTTTTTTGACTGAATATTTATTTTTACATGTAAATATAGATAGATAATCTATGAAAATGAATAACAATAAAAGTATTAGAAGAATTATGGATCAAAATGACAAAGGCAAGACTATATATCAAATTTTGGATATATGTAGTTATGGTAGCACAAGTTACTTTAAATTAAGAAAATACTAAAACTGATATCTACATTGACACCCAACAATAATAATTTTTTGACAGATACCATTTCAAAGATTTAATTATGTCATATATATATATATATATCGATATATA